CGGCTTCGGGCTGCGGTAACGGGAACCAGCTGTCCCGGCTCATGTGATGCCGGCGCCCGGCCAGCGCTGCCCGCGGGGGTGTCCTGGCCCCCAGTCCGGGGAGGGACGGGTCCCAGGTCCACAGGAGGGTGGGCACAGCATGCTGCCTCCACCCGGCCCCCCGGCTCAGGCTCTCCCCAGTGTTCAGCCGCTCCCCAGGATGTGGTGGCCCTTGCTGCTGGTCCCTGCGGCGCTGGCCCAGCTGCGCCCGGAGCGGGAACTCGATGCGCAGTGGGAGCTCTGGAAAAAAACCCACCGCAAGCAGTACAATGGCAAGGTACGGGGGGTGATGCTTGGGACCCCCAGTGACGTCCCCAGGGTGGGACAAGGATGTCCCGAGGGCGGGGGGCACAGGCAGGACCCCTGGCCCATCTTGCCCCACGGTGCAGGAGGACGAGCTGACACGGAGGCTGATTTGGGAGAAGAACCTCAAATACATCAACACCCACAACCTGGAGTACGCCCTGGGCGTCCACACCTTCGAGCTGGCCATGAACCACCTGGGTGACATGGTGGGTGTCCCTGGGAGGGGACAGAGTGGGGCTGAGCACCCGTGGGTGCTGCCACCCGCCCGCTCACCTGCCGGGGCTCCTTCCCCAGAGCAGCGAGGAGGTGCTGAGGACAATGACCGGGCTGAAGGTGCCCCGTGGTCACCAACGTCACAACGAGACGCTCTTTGTCCCCGACTGGACCGAGAGAGCTCCGGCTGCCATGGACTGGCGCAAGAAAGGCTACGTGACCCCTGTCAAGAACCAGGTAAGACGGGTGTGCCTGGAGCAGGGGGTCACCCCGGTGTCACCCTGGTGTCACCTGTTGTCTCCCCACAGGGCCAGTGTGGCTCATGCTGGGCTTTCAGCTCGGTGGGTGCCCTGGAGGGGCAGCTGAAGAGGAAAACAGGGAAGCTGCTGTCCCTCAGCCCCCAAAACCTGGTGGATTGTGTGGCTAACAACGACGGCTGCGGGGGCGGGTACATGACCAACGCCTTCGAGTACGTGCGGCAGAACCGCGGCATCGACTCCGAGGACTCCTATCCCTACATTGGCCAGGTGTGAGGGGGAACAGCCCCAAATCCCCCTCCATCCCTCCCGGCCCCATCTCACCTCGACCTTCCCGGCCCCACGCAGGACGAGAGCTGCATGTACAGCCCCACTGGGAAGGCGGCCAAGTGCCGCGGCTACCGTGAGATTCCCGAAGGGAATGAGAAGGCTCTGAAGAGGGCGGTGGCCCGGATTGGTCCCATCTCCGTGGGCATCGACGCCAGCCTGCCCTCCTTCCAGTTCTACAGCCGGGGTGAGGGGCTGGGGGGAGATCAGGGGCCGTGGGGCTGCTCGGGGGCCTGAGGCGTGCCCGGTGACACCGGCTGTGTCCCCAAGGTGTGTACTACGACGAGAGCTGCAATGCCGAGAACATCAACCACGCCGTGCTGGCCGTGGGCTACGGGGCACAGAAGGGCACCAAGCACTGGATCATCAAGAACAGGTACTGTGGGATTGGGATCACTTGGGAATTGCAGGTGGCTGGGGCACTTCCAGAGGCTCAGGCTCTGCTTTTCCACCCTCCAGCTGGGGCGAGGAATGGGGCAACAAGGGCTACGTCCTCCTAGCCCGCAACATGAACAACGCCTGTGGCGTGGCCAACCTGGCCAGCTTCCCCAAGATGTGAGGAGCACACCCAGCCCTTCCCTGCCCACTGCCCTGCCTTCAGCTTGGCCTCTTCCCTCCCAGTCTCAAAGATGACGGTGCTCCCAGGGGGAATTCTTTGTCTCCGTGAGAAATTTCCCTCAAAAAGGAAATTTCCCTCAAAAAGGAAGGGGAGAGAGAACCCTCTTCCACCTGCAGGGAGTAGGGGACAAACCCCCCTCAACTCTGTTTTCCACACTTTGCCATGCTGGCTTCTGCCTTCCCATGGACTGTGCTTGGCTAGATCCAAGGCCAATCCACCCAGACATGCTTCAGGAAACAGGTTCCACAGCAGCCTCTGCCTCAGGAACACTGGGGTGGAGGTGGGACATTCCCAGTGGAGAACATAGACCCCTCTCCCTCCACCCTGTATCCCAGAGGAGGCTGCTGAGAATGATGTGACTTCATTTTTCAACTAAAATCGGGAATAAGGCTTGGACCGGTTTGCTTTGTGCTGGGAAACAGCCACAGGGATGGGAGAAGTTCTTCCTTTTCCCAAAGGGGCAAGGAGCCCCATGTGAGGCAGAACAGGGAGAGAAGAACTGCTGAGGAGTTTTGGGATGGATGGATGGATGGATGGATGGATGGATGGATGGATGGATCCACAGGATGCCCCCAGCCTCATCAGAGTCCCCCAAACACTCCCCAGGGACCAGCATCTCTTCCCAGGGACCATCAGCCATGGCTGGGGGGGCACCCTGGGGGCTGTAGGGATTTGGGGACCTCCTGGGATCATGGCCATGGGGGGGACACAAGTGACAGTGACACTGTGGGCCCACAAGAATCCAGAGAAGAGGTGCACAGAGACCCCTGGGGGGGCCGTGCGTGCCCTGTGTGGGTGAGCGTGGTGACCACAGCACACCCCAAAACCAAACACAGGTATCACAGCAGGCCTGACACACCCCAACAGTGCAAACACCCCAACATCCACCCACACCCCGGCACACCCCGGAATGGGGCCCCGTGGGGGACACAGAGGCCTGGGGGGGCCCTGAAACAATGGAGACAGTGAGGCATAAGGAAGTTCCATGAACCGAAAAACCAGGGACACTCAGAGGTGACACCGCAGCATTTTTATTGTTCCCTCATGCTGTGGGGGATTCATTCCTCATCTCCAGGGGGCGGGGGGGGCACGGCGGCCCCCAGGGTCACCTGGCTCAGGTAGGTGTTGTCGAAGCAGCGGCGCCGCTCGGGCTCCTCCCACGAGCAGCAGCCCTGGGGGTCCCGCCAGGCATCCCGGGGGGTGGCACAGAGCGTGGCGATGCCCTGGGACAGCTGTGGGCAGTGGGGACGGGGGTCAGGGTGGCTGGGGGGGTCCCGCAGCGCCCCGAGCCCTTTGGTCACTCACCTGCTCCCGGGCACAGGGCCCGCGTTCCT